AACCTACACGACCTACACTACAGATAAGTAGCTGCGTCGTACCGTACTATCCGTCCTTCGGTCCGTACAGACAGTATATATATATATATATATATATATATATGTACCATATCCAAACAGGATGTTGGTAATGGCACAAGGACCAGTAGCATGCCCAAAACAGTAGATGTCATACCAGACTTTACGGGGACTCTGACAAGCTGTCACGAAACTTGTTTTACAGGCACTCTCGAGTATCAATGTAATGGCACCTATCAAACGTGAAGGACAGATCTGTGACACACACACTATTGAGAATTCTCCCATTTTGTCATAGCTTTAAAGAAATTTATTTATACCACGCGTTTTTCTTTTATAGACATGTTTATAACAAAAAGAAAGTTTTTTCCCCTAAAAGAATCTGGTAAAAGTTATTTCTTCTTCACACAAAGTTGTAGACAGTTGGCCTCAGATGGTTTATATATGATCATTACTGTTGAGTTCTGAAAGGCTAATAGAATTTTAACCTTTTGATAGCTTAGTTAGAAAACTAGTTATGTTATAGTAGTTTTGGGCAATCTGTTTTAGTGCCTTGAGAATATAATCTTTTCTCAAGTGCATATTCGAAAGCTTCAAGATTTTTTTAGTTAAAGAACTGACTGAATGTAAAAAGTGAGGCCTAGATCAGTTATGGTTTCCACTTGCAGAGGTCATGTGGGTCACATGCTTTGCTCGTAATATTTCAAACTGTGGCTTATTACCTCTCCTTATGTTTATTGCTTAGTACAATAACAAAACCATAATTATAAAGAAAATAGATGTGAAAAAGTTAAGAATTGAAACATTAAAAATAACAACTACATGAAACAAGGGAAATTATGCATGAAAAGATATAAATTTTATTTCAAATGTTTAAATTTTTCATTTCACTGTACGTTGATCATGATTGGTAATTTCACTACAGTTAATGTTAAGATATACAAAACAGCAGATAAAATATAAACTTTATGATGTTCTAGAGGTTATACAAATGAAACATGAAAACTACCTTGCAGTGAGAAACTGGTCAGAGTCTGAATCAGACTGACCCACAGGCAAATCTTTAGTAAAAAAATTATGCTTTTCTGGTTACAATAGACTTCCAATATTTAAAAAGAGCTTGCCAAATTTCAAGAAGATGTATCTATATATTTTATTAAAAATTATAGTAAAAATTTCGTCTCCAATATGGAATCAGCGCCCAATGAACCAATGCCACAAAACAGTGTTAAGATTTGTAAAAGAGAGACAGGGCTCCAGTTAAGACAGTTTTGTTTTACTAAAAGGGTATTAATTTATGGAATAAGTTGATACTGACAGAAGTGGAGACTGGAACTTTACTAGAGGTGAATCAATAATTTCATGAAAAATAAAGGATGGGATTGAATTTCTACTTTTCTCAAATATGGGTGTGCAAGAACAGCCTAGAAAGACAACATGAACCCTTTTTGTCTGTATGTGATGTATTCAAGTTCAATTTGATTGTTTGTATACTCTCAAACTTGCAATTACAACTCTGTAACCTTAATATATAATCCCTACAAATAGTAAACAAAGAAAACTTCCCAAGATAAATATTGAGACATAAACTAGAAGCTGCACAATTATAAACTTACATTTTTGGCTACAAACACTGGTTTTTCAGGATTTTGTACATCCCATAATTTAAGATTGTTTTCTTTTCCTCCTGTAGCAAGAATTGAAGGTTTAAATGGACTTTGACGCATCCGACAGATATTGTCTCCAACTTCAAATTCTGCCTAAAAGATTAAGGCATTATTAAAAATACAATCTATTTGTTATATATTTCATTAACTTTTTTTTTTCAGGAAAGCATTGGAATTTCACATAAATACAAAAAAATTGTGTTTAATAAAGGTTTATTCCGAAGTAATTAAAAAAATATTCATAGTAAACCACAAATATATTATATTGCAACATTTCAACCTCACGCCTACATCAGATAAGTGCATAAAATACACTAATATATAAACAGAGTGAAAAATTTGAATACTTAGATGCTAGTCTCTTTATTTCAATTCACCTATTACATTTTTACATAAACAACTTTCTACATGTGACTTAACGTGTTCTGTGTTTGTCAATCATAATTTTTTTAACTATGCTTTCAGATAAATTTAGTTGTATATAAACCTTCTATCTAAAGGTAGAATAATAAACATTAGGAGTGAACAATACTGAAAAATGAAGCTTGAAATTTGTGAAAATATTTTTTTCTTAAATTTCTTTTAATTTTGCACTTGACAATACTTTGAAATTTTATTCTAAAAAATCCTAATTAATTCTACATCTATTTTTATTTCTAGTTCTCACATTGTATTTTATCATAAAAACATCTATACTTAAAGCAAGTAAACAACTTAAATAAGTTATAGCTTTATTTCATTAAATAATGCATACAGAGCACTTGAAAAACAATTTCTTTAAACTATTTGGTAGAGCTAGGGAATTAACTTGATTAACTGAAAAATAAATGATAAATTATAAGCATTGATTACATCAATTACTGTTACATAAAATAGTAGATTAATAGAAATTATGATAAAATTGGTTAATGTCATGAAATAATCAATTAATCAAAATTAGCATTTCTGATTTTATTGTTTACTAATATTCCAATTATCCAAGTAATCAAACTATTCCCATTATGTTTTCTCATTATTATTTTTGAGTAATTCAAGGTTGTTCACCTCATTTTGCATTATGACTCACAAAAATAACCAACTAACCAAAATTAGGGTTTCTAATTATTACTATTTTTGATTATTTCAACTATCCAAGTCTTATGTAAGAATAATTGATTAGTTGAATATAATCGATTAACCTTTACCAGACGGGTCACAGGTGAAAGGCCATTTCATCTCGTTTGTTGACTTGCATTCAAAATTTTATTGAACTACTATTTCAAAAATTTATATCAATAAGTTTGGTACCAAACTGTAGATTATAATTCAAATTTTAGAACTATATATTATTCAATTTGTTAATT